ATCAATCATCACCAGATCTTCAATAAAAGTAAGTGTCATTTAATTGTGCATGCCTTTTTCAGTTTGTGTGTATTAAAATTAACATTTCATGTGGTAAAAAAAATTTTTTTTCATACTTTTGGGCGTCTTGCACGGATTAATTTTATTTCCATTATTTCTTATGGGGAAAATTGATTCGCATAACGATTATTTCGCATAACGATGAGCCCTCTTGCACGGATTAAAATCGTTAACCGGGGGTCCACTGTATAGGGAAAACGATTAATCCATTCCCATGAAAAAAAATCCTATTGTTATTGGCATATTATACATTGATGGAGTTGTATAAAGTAAATTAAACACTGCTTAATATACTAAAATATATAATTTAAACACTGCTTAATACTAAAATACGTACATACATAAATACAAAAGAATTAATTAAATAAATGCAAATTTAACCCTTTCAGGGTCCACAGGCCCTCTCAGAGACTTGTTCTCAGGGTCCCCCAAATTTAAAAAAAAAAAATTATTTTTCTTGTGAAAAGATAGAGAATCGTTTCCCGATCATAATGACACCAAAAGTACGAAATTTGATGGAAAACTTATGGAATTATGCTCTTGCAAAGTTAGTGGTCTTGACGATGTTTACGCATCGGCGATTTTACCCACTTTGAGCCCTATTTTCGGCCAATTCCAGTGTACTAGTCAACAAAAATCATAACTATTTCGCTAGAACTCCATTTTTTCTATCGAATGAGTACAAAAAACCACCCATTTACTGATTTCAATTATCCAATACAGTGGTCAGAATTTAGCAATTTTGCCAATTTCACACAAATTTCAAAAGATGCCAATTTCCAAATAGGGTCCAGAATAAACAAGAAAGACATTCCTGGCACTAAAATAACATTTCCTCTGTTCATTAGTCACGTCCCCACGCCCTCTTACATTCTTTTGCTTTCCATTTTGAATTTTTATTCTCACAAAAAATAGGATTTACTGTTATGCAGACTAATGCATTAGTGTAGAAATGGTATGAATAATATCGGCGCACTTGTGAAAGAATATTAGACTCACCAGTTGACGTGTATTGGACGCTTAGCATGATTTGTTTACTTTCGAACTTTGGTAAAAATCGAATGTTTCTGCTACTTTGAGCTCAGTTTCAAGGTACAGTGGACCCCCGACTAACGATCACCTCCAAATGCGACCAATTATGTAAGTGTATTTATGTAAGTGCGTTTGTACGTGTATGTTTGGGGGTCTGAAATGGACTAATCTACTTCACAATATTCCTTATGGGAACAAATTCGGTCAGTACTGGTACCTGAACATACTTCTGTAATGAAAAAAGATCGTTTGTCGGGGGTCCACTGTACTTTTCATTGTAAAACCAGTCAAAATCATCTCAATTTCTGTAATATGTCTTTCATTCTATCAAATGAGACCAGGAAAACTAGAATACAACAATAAATACCATACGAAAATACAGTGCAAAGTTGCTGTTTTAATCCAAAAACACGGTCAAAGTTTTTTTTTTCTCATTACGCACTGTGTGCTGCAGGATTTTTTTTATACTGCGCACACTGACCACATAGACCCATTCTTTCATATGTAGGCCTACCAGCTTTCTCTCACTAGATTTGAAGGCGCTAGAATTTATGAGTACTAGTACATCAAGGACCCTGGCACGTAAGCCGTAATAGTACGGCCGAAACCCTGAAAGGGTTAACCTCACTTTACTTTGCTGAAAAGAGTCGAGTGCCTACTAGGATAGTGCTGAGAAGGGAGGAGGAGAAAGTGTTATTGTTTGGAAGGAGAGTCCCCATCTCTTTTCTGTCCCTTTTCCCTATTTGAACCTGGATTAAGCTCACCAGGTTTGACTTTTACTAAAAATCTGTCTTCAAATTATGTCCTAGAATTTGTATTGATAAAGCCACTGGATGGCGAATTGTCTACAATAAAGATACCCAGATGTTGCACGTGTCTTAATTTCATCACTAAAAATCTGTCCAAAGAACTTTGTTTCTGCCTTCTCCTCAGGATGTTTCAGAAATGTGCATTGTCTGGTCATTCCAGACAATGCTATTATGGCTTGTTTGGGCTTTGTTGGGGTGGTACTTCTCTGCAAAGTTTTTGTCGTCCATCCATTTGGTAAAGATTTCCTTGATTAATGAAGTAGGGGCTTCGTCTATCTCCTCTTCCGAGCCTGAAGAGAGTGCATCCATCTTAGTCTTGTGCTCCTCCTTCTCATGTTCCTGCAGCTCCTCAGTGGTCAGCTCTTCCTGTGCCCCTCCACTAACTCTTCCACATCACCATCACTCACATCCAGACCCATGGACCTGGTTAATGGTTAATGAATTTATGTACTAAAAATTTATACAAAAAAACACAAAATCACATGAAAATTCACAGAGTTACAGCACAGGTTGTTCACTGAATGGTAGCAATGGGCATACTGATGCTAGTGGGCAATTGTGGCTTTGTCTCGAGGGAGAGGTAAACAAGGGTAGCATGCGGTGTTGTGACTCATTTTGACCCATACAAGTTCTAGCACGCGAGTCGTATTCCAAAGGTCGTATACCAAGCAAAAATTTTCACGTCCAAACAGGATGCATACCAAGTTGGACTTATTCCAAAGCGTATGCATACTGAGTTACCACTGTACTTCTAAAAATCCCGTGGCTTTAACTTCAAGTACCCCAGATGTTCCCCTGCAACATCACAAATCCTTGATAAAACAGTCAGCTATAAAACAGTAAATATGACAACCCATAATTTCTAAAATTTACCACTCTGGGAGCAGTAGTACTGCAACATTCTTTGTAAATATAGTGCTTAATAAATAAGTTTCATTTATATTTATGTTTAAGCTCTAGTATTCCATGGTGCTTTAGAGGCATGGGAGGTGTATAATTATTTGGTCAGAGGTGTACTGTTGAATTATTATTATGTGACATCTGTTGGTCTAGCAAAATCAACATTTTGGCAAGGCTTAGGAACTAAGGGTGGTAGAAAATCAGTGTTGTATTTGTACTGGACTATAAACACCCCTGGTTGTTTTCATAGTATAAAAAATTACAGCTCCAAGGATATATGCAATGAAACTTTAAAGCTGTCTACACAGCTATCTAAAAATAATTTAATAGCATTCTGAAGAATAATGCAGCAAAAGACACTGAGGTTTTGCCATATATCACTGGAATAAAAATATTTTTAAGGTTATTAAATAAACTTTTAGTGGTGATATTGTGCATAGTCCATCTTTAATCAATGAGTAATTGTCATCAGTAAAATAATAAAAAATTAGTAAAAAGAAATTTGAAATAGAAAAAATTTGATTAATAAGATGTATGGGCAAAGGAAGGTGGGGTTGTTGTCGGCTTAGGAAAGGTTAGGAGGAGGGGGAAAAGGAGGTTTTGTGTGCAAGGGGCTTGGACTGCTAACAAGCATGTGTGAGCATATTAGATAGGAACAAGTAGAGACAAATGGTTTTTATGATGACGTGCTGTTGAAGTGTGAGTAAAGTAACATTATGAAGGAATTCAGAGAAACCAAGAAGCCACACTTGAGTCCTGGAGGTGGAAAGTACAGTGTCTGCACTCTGAAAGAGGCATGTTGATATGCTGCAGTTTTTTAACTGTAGTACAGGTGTGCCTCTGGCAAGACAGAATGATGAAAGCATTTCTTCTTTTTTGGGTTATTGACTATTTCAGTGAGAAATGGCTGACGTGTTATAAAAAAATTGTGCAAAGCCTGAGTATCTTTACTGATGGAGATGATTCACCAATTAGCGGATTTTTCAATCCAATACAGAGACTAAATACAGAAGACTGAAGAGAGTGAGCAACTGAACACAGTCTATGAAGGCTGAGGGACTGATCGCCTCAAAATTTCCTCTACTTTTTCAACCATCTGCAATGGATTGAAAAACAACACATCTCCATTAATAATTATATATAATGATACCCAGGTGTTGCACATTTACCTGATTAATCAACTATTCAGTAGTGTATACTATTAATGTAACGAAACCAGAGAAAACTCATCACTGCTTGAAGGCAGTGTTCGTACAGTAAATATTGTAGGGTAAACTAAGAACATAATACAGTAGAACCCCTGTATCCACTGATTCAGTATCAGCGGTTTCAGTTATCCACGGTTTAGTGTGCCCCAAAAATACCTCTTAATTTTGCGTAATACGTAATCAAATCAAATCAAAATTTTATTTCTTTGCTAAAGTTACAATGTGTGTTTACATTTCATAATTTGATTGGTACAAAGAAAGCCACTATCATACCAAGGCATTTCGGGCAGACTTAATGGCCCCAAAGCACAAAATCAGAGAAGCCGGCAGTTCTTCAAACCCTAAGAGAAGCCATGAAGTGCTTCCCATCAGTAAAAAAGTGATAATTCTCCACTTACTGTGCATAATTTATCAATTAAACTTTATAATATGTATGTATAGGATTATATATAGGGTCTGCTACTATCTGTAGTTTCAGTATCCGCAGCAGTCCTTGGAATGGTATCCCCACGGATATGGGGTCCTACTGTATGGAATTTATTCTAGAATTTTTTAATTCATCTTCTATATTTACACAAAATATTAGTGAAAACTTAAGATTGCTATGCAATACAGCCTCTCCTCACTTAGCGACGTACTCGTTTACCGACACATCGGACTTACGACGGGCTCTCTGACCAGTATGCATACCTAAATAATGTATACTAGAGCTGATTTCTTCTATTCTGTTTATTACAATATACAGTACACTACTGTATAAACATTTAAGAATATACTAGAAATGTTATAAATGGTGCAAAGGTAACATTAAAACAATATCAAAGATGGCTGACACAGACCCACTACCATTATAGTATGCTCCTCACTTAGCGATGAATTCATTTACCAACGTAGTCTTAGGAACAGAACTCCATCGTTAAGTGAGGAGAGGCTGTATCTTTAAATACTTTTTAAAAGCTACTATATACTTGCAATATTCTCACCTCTACAGCCCAACTTTCTACCAATTTTCATGACGGCTCTCTTTGTGATGGTATTTTTAATGCCACTGTCAGCAACTGCTGGGTTATACACCAGAATAGCCTGGCTTCTCTGTCATCACCCTACACCACTGCTGACTACAGTTTCAACTTATTCCTACTGGTCACATTCCAAGAAAGCAATATATTGGGTAAGAAACTCCTGGTATTTTATGTATCTATATGCTCTAGTCTAATGGTGTCTTATTTTCACTGAACTCCCACCTGTAAAATTTAATGGCTAACATATGGTATGCACAAAATATAGTACTGATGGAAGCAAACATAATCAGAATCAATGATTAAGAAAGAAAATAAAAGTAAATCCTTCTCATAACAGATTTCCATACAACAGACTTTAGAAATGTGGAACAACATCTACTAACCTATAACATTAACTCATTAGTTATGGTAGTGGTGACACATTTTAATTTTTTTTACTTAAAATACTATGTTTTCATTTAATAAACTTTCACTTAAGACTTGACCTTCAAACACTGCTTCAAACTTTGTTGCATCTGGCTAGGTCAAGGCATGGAGAAGACCTGGGCCAGGCCCCATCTTAGTGAACCTACCTGTACCTATACTGCATCTGTATAGTGTAGAGTATGTACTATAAAACACAATAGTATACAAAGTTGCATTCTAGAAAATTAGCAGATTTCGTGGTGTTCATGCACCTCAAGAGCTGGAAGTGTCCAGGGAGGAAAAGCTGAAGAGCCAATTCCAATGACATAACTTCATTCAAGCTTACATAACCATCAAAAATCAACATATTACCCTCACCTTGAGTCTATCTGCAATTCACATGTAGAAGCATTCAACTGTTGAGCAGCTAGTCTACCAACATTCTTTCATGGACACAACACAATGTACATCAAACAACTCACATTACAATATCTAGCACTTGACAGAGCATTTTTTTTACTCGAGAGTATCTGCAGCAAAGATGAGATACAAAAATAATGGAAGAGAGCTAGTAGTGATTTCATCTAACTGTTCCTCATAAATTTGTCCAGTATGGGAAATCTTATTTATGTACATAGTGCAAACTCTGCTGATAAGGTTCTCTATAATGCAAGAATACTTACTGTCAAAGAAGCTTTCTTAGGAGGTTTGTTCAGATATTGGGTAAATGCTAAATTATCAATTACTGCATTTCAAAATACAATACTGTACATATATGCTACTTTATAATAGATAGCTATGGGAAAAAATCAGGAATGATAAAATATGTAAAGTAAAAGGACACAAGTGCAACTAATGTGACATTTATTGTGGCAACGTTTTGCTCTCCAGGAGCTTTATCAAGCCATTACAAACAATATATGGACACAGAGGGTATATAAAGGCTCAGAGTGAGGTGAATACCAGTGAGGTACCATTTCGATGTTCACTAGTAGTGGTAGTAGTAGTAGTAGTAGTAGTCGTAGTGACAAAAGTAATACAATATGGTAGAGCAATTAATTCGTACATGAGTAAAAGGATATAAAAGCTATTACTTGGGTAACATAAAAATAGGTTGGACAAATAAAAAACTGAATGAGGCAGCTTGTTTCAGTGTTCACTCTCTGTGCTTTGTGTAGTATAACAGGAGAGACTATGTGATGGCAGGGTTTACTGTTTTCAGGAGGATTCTTGCTAAGACTTCGGAGATGGTGAAGCTGCCGTTGTTTTGTTTAATTGTATTCGAAACAGCGATCAGTGCTGATTCGAGGCACTTGCGTCTGCGGAAATTAGTTTCTTTGATCACTAATTGGGCGTCTCTGAATTTCATGAGATGATTGGTGGAATTTCGGTGTTGTACACAGGCGTTGTTCAGGTTATCGTTCCTACATGCGTAAATGAACAACGCCTGTGTACAACACCGAAATTCCACCAATCATCTCATGAAATTCAGAGACGCCCAATTAGTGATCAAAGAAACTAATTTCCGCACACGCAAGTGCCTCGAATCAGCACTGATCGCTGTTTCGAATACAATTAAACAAAACAACGGCAGCTTCACCATCTCCGAAGTCTTAGCAAGAATCCTCCTGAAAACAGTAAACCCTGCCATCACATAGTCTCTCCTGTTATACTACACAAAGCACAGAGAGTGAACACTGAAACAAGCTGCCTCATTCCAGTTTATATTTTCCAACCTATTTTATGTTACCCAAGTAATAGCTTTTATATCCTTTTACTCATGTACAAATTTAAATTGCTCTACCATATTGTATTACTTTTGTCACTACGACTACTACTACTACTACTACCACTAGTGAACATCGAAATGGTACCTCACTGGTATTCACCTCACTCTGAGCCTTTATATACCCTCTGTGTCCATGTATTGTTTGTAATGGCTTGATAAAGCTCCTGGAGAGCGAAACGTTGCCACAATAAATGTCACATTAGTTGCACTTGTGTCCTTTTACTTTACATATTGTCAGTAATTCTACCAACTTTATTACAATGATAAAATACCACACTGAAACCTTGGTGTAGTATATTAGAAGGGGGTAGGGGGTGCCTGCTTAAACAAAAATCCACTGGACAGAAATGATTGATGTAGTGGACATTACATCGATAGACTGCCAGACACGGACAAATACCTAGCAGACTTAACCTGCTGTACTGACCTACTAGGTGGGAACCCTGTCATATGTGGTATTTTGCCAAGGAGAGGAGTTGGAAATGAATGGTTGTCAGGGCAATTGGTGTCAATTGCTGGCTGGACAAATACTGTAAGGAAAATGCAGTAACATTCATTGACAACTGGGACCTCTTCTATGGCAGAAATGACATGTATGCCAGGAATGGGGTTCACTTATCTAGGTCTGGGGTGGTAGCACTGGCAACTGCAGTGGAGGGAGCAGTTAGGACTTTAAACTAGGAATAGTTAGTGATATGGGTTTTGGCAGGAAAACAGTGAAGTCCCAGTGTAGTAACATTACGAGTTCTAGGGGAACTAGTAATAAGCAGAACGAGGTAGATATTGAAAAGCCAGGGACTTTGGGTGATAAGGACAGTAATAGGTTTAGTAGAAAAACAGAAACGAGCAAGAAGGGTAAAGAGAAAGGAGAGTCTTTCAATGTTTATTATGCTAATTGCCATAGTGCTAGGAATAAGATGGACGAGTTGAGATTAGTTGCTAGTGCAGGTAACATTGATGTATTTGCCTTAACTGAGACGTGGTTTAATTCAAAAAGTCGGAATGCCTGCGGAATGTCATATTCAGGGTTTTAAATTGTTCCAAGTAGATAGAAGTATCGGGAGGGGGGTGGGGTGGCATTGTATGTCCGAGATCGCTTGAACTGTTGCATAAAAACGGGTATTAAGTCTGAAGTAACACATACAGAGTCTGTTTGGATAGAATTTTCAGAGGGGCATGAAAAACTGATTTTAGGAGTGATATACCGTCCCCCAAACTTAGATAGGGAAACCCAAAGGGAGACTACTATGGGAGGAAAATGTTAAGGCCACAAGGCACGATACTGTAGTAATTCTAGGAGACTTTAACTTTAGTCATATTGATAGGAATTTCTTGACTGGGAATTTAGAATCATACGACTTCTTAGAAGTAGTTCAGGATTGTTTTTTGAAGCAGTTTGTGACAGAACCTACAAGGGGTAATAACCTGCTTGACTTAGTTATGGCAAACAATGAATCCCTTGTTAATAATTTAGAAATTTCAGAGGAACTGGGTGCTAGCAACCACAAATCAATTACATTTAGCATTGAATGGAAGTACGATAGTAGTGATAACTCAGTAACAGTCCCAGATTTTCGCTTAGCAGATTACGATGGGCTTAGAGAACACTTATCATCTGTTGACTGGGGTAACGAAGTGAGCTATCAATATGACAGTTTTCTGAACACTATACATGCTGCTCAAAGAACGTTTATCCCATATAAAGAAATTAGATCAAATAGAAATGACCCAAAATGGATGAATAATAGGCTCAAATATCTACTAGGTCATAAGAAAGGAATTTATAGGCGTATCAAAAGAGGTGAGGGTCATCTTATGAATCAGTATATTGACATTAAGAGGGACATTAAAAAGGGGATAAGAAAAGCTAAAAGGGACTATGAAATTAAAGTTGCTAGGGATTCTAAAACTAACCCAAAAAGTTTTTTCCAGGTCTATAGAACAAATGTTAGAGATAAGATACGTCCCCTTAAAAATAACTATGGGCACCTTACTGACAAAGAGAATGAAATGTGCTCGATTTTTAATAATTATTTTCTCTCAGTTTTTACACAGGAAGACACTAACAATATTCCAGTAATTAATTTTTATAGTGGGCTAGAAGAAGATAAATTATGTAACATCACAGTCACTAGTGAAATGGTTGTGAAGCAGATAGACAGACTGAAGCAAAATAAGTCGCCGGGTCCTGATGAGGTTTTTTCAAGGGTTCTTAAGGAATGCAAAATGGAACTCTGTGAACCATTAACTAATATTTTTAATTTATCTCTTCAAACAGGTGTAGTGTCTGATATGTGGAAGAATGGCTAATGTAATTCCTATTTTTAAAACAGGGGGACAAGTCGTTACCGTCAAATTACCGCCCAATAAGCCTGACCTCAATTGTAGGCAAATTACTAGAGTCAATTATAGCTGAGATTACAAGAAGCCATCTCAATAAGCATAGCTTGATTAATGATACTCAGCATGGATTCACAAGAGGCCGGTCTTGTCTAACTAATTTATTAACTTTCTTCAGTAAAGCTTTTGAGGCTGTTGACCACGATAAAGAATTTGATATTATTTACTTAGATTTTAGTAAGGCTTTTGATAGAGTTCCGCACCATAGACTGTTAAAGAAAGTGGCAGCTCATGGCATTGTGCGAAAAGTGCTCTCGTGGATCGAGTCATGGCTCACTGACAGGAAGCAGAGAGTGTCCATAAATGGGGTTAAATCCGAGTGGGGATCTGTAACAAGTGGCGTTCCACAGGGATCAGTCTTGGGCCCATTGTTGTTTATAATATATATCAATGATCTTGATGAGGGAATTACTAGTGATATGAGCAAATTCGCCGATGACACAAAGATAGGCAGGATAATTGATTCAAACGTAGATGTTATGGAACTTCAGGAGGATTTAAACAAACTCTATTCTTGGTCAGAAAAGTGGCAGATGCAGTTCAATGTAGATAAAT